CATGAGTGTGGAACGTTATTATTTTTAGAGTTTTTTCAATGTATTGGTTAGCTTTAGGGATTTTTTTTCCTCTTCCTCTTTTTTTCTTTAAAAAATATTCTGTGCTGCATAGAATGGTACTCTGGGAGGGGGAAGGGAGAGAAATACAGGGGGAAATTTAGGCAGCAAAAAACCAAAATATGTCAAGACAAATGTATTTTTTAAAATCATTACTCTCACTTTACAGCAGAAAAAAATAGGTTCTGAAAGTTTAAGTAACTCTCAAACTAGTACATGACCAAGCCAGGAGTTTAACCCAGGTCTCATTATTCTAAGTCCAACACTCTTTCCACTAAACCACACTTTATCACTTTCCTCTATTTTCTTGAAGTTCCCTCGTGCTGGGAAACAGTTTCCAGATAGTTCACATGCAGTTCTGCAGTTATACACTACAGCCCTTTTATGTGTCAGGTCAGAGGTAAAAGGATCAGTTGGACTAGAGTTGGCACATTTCAACTACAGGACAAATTTCAAAGATTTTCTTTGAACTTATGGGTGGAAATGCTTGCCTAAGGTTTACAAAATCCCATAAAAATGCTGCTTTAGTATTATGACTTGGAAATTCTCCCAAAGTGCCCAGAGCAATATTTTGTTACTAGACCATTAAGTTACTAGTATTCCTACAATAAATACATCATGGAAATGTCAAAACAAGTTTTCTGTTTACTGTAGTGTAACTCCTTCCTCACATCATCCTTATGTTGTTGTTCTATTTGAAGCAGAGGTCATGTAGCTTTCTGTACAATTGTGACATTTTGAAGCCTGTATTCAAAGGGTAGAAGTTGCCTGAAGATCCATGTCCCATCTTATGTGAATGTGCCTATTACATTTTATATAAGCTATTTTCTTGAAGAAATTGTTTTAACTGAAATTGACCTCATGTCCCATCTTCTTGAAATGTGTTGACTGCTACCCCTCTCTACCCCCTTCTGTCCCACCCCCACACACACTCAGCCACTAAAAATCAAAGCAGACATTTAGTTGACAATTCATTTATGAGAATGAGATAGTGCTTCGTCTTACATCTTTAGTTAGTTATCTTCCATGAATATAACTTTGATTAACACTCTTTTATATAAGACTGTAAAGATCCAGTAGTTATACTTTTGTTCTACTTTGGTGGAAATTAAGAAATTAAAGATAATCCTAAAGGTCCTTTCCAACTTTAGGAAAAAAAATATAATATGAATTAAAGATAATCCTAAAGGTCCTTTCCAACTTTAGCAAAAAAAAATATGATGTGATGGGAGGTACATTTGACTCTAGAAGTCAGAAGACTGGGTTTTTATTCTTAAGTCTTCCATTGACCAGTTGTGAAACTATGGGCTAATCTCCTAACCTCTTTCTATCTCAGTTTCCTCATCTCTAATGTGAAGGGTTTGGACTAAATTATATCCAAGTCCCTTCTAGTTCTATCATTCTGTGCTCAATGTTTTTATATTATGTATTCTAGGGACACATCTCTAACATTCCATCTCTAATGTTTTTTGTTATGATTCTAAGACCCTTTCTGGCTCTGTCATTCATTGCTTAGTATTCTGTAATTCTCTCTTCCGAAGTATCTTCCATCTCTAATAGTCTTTGTTCTAAAGTCCCTTCCAGCTTCTAACTTTCTATTACTTTGAGGGCCCTTCTAGCTCAATATTCTTTGGCAGTGATTTTTATGAGAAGAAAACAATTTTAATAGGCCTTCACAACCCAAAGTAATATATCACTAATGGGAGAGATCTTGTGAGAAGTGATAGGCGAGATGTTTTTTAGGCAGAGAACAATTCACTGTACCCCTCAAATTAAACATATAAGCAGCCACCCACTGCTCCTATACTTAAGACTAGTATATCTCAAAGAGGAATTAAATGAAATAGTGAAATGAGGCAAAGACAAGTAGAGTGGGCCAATGGAACACTTGAGAACATCCCAAAATAAAATCTGAAATTATGCGGGGCTTCTGGGAAACATCAGCAACCCAGAGTTGGCACAAAGCAATAAGAGAAGGGGGTGTACAGGGCCTTGTTTGAAACCCAAGTGTCAGGCACATTGATGGGCCAAGAGGCCAGCATAGGGAATTTTAAGTCAGGCGAGGAACATGCCAAATGAGGCATTACTCAAGGAGGAAAGCAAATGACTCTAATGTCTATCAACATAAACAGATAGATAGTATCTGTTTTTAATGAAATTAATCCATAAGATAGATCGACTACAGATGCCAGGATATGTGATGACATTGCCTGAAGATGAATTACTTGGAAAGGAATGGTGAGATGTATCTTTTCACCTCACTCTATTTATTAACAGTTTAAACTTCTCAACTGGCTGTTGCTGGGAGCATTGAAAATTACGAGTTCTCTCTGTGCAAGCTATACAGACGTTGGAGCATGTTTGCATCCTTTATTGAGGAAGCTGTGAGGAAAGCCTGGGGGTGTAGTGTACAGAGCATGGAAGACCAAGAATGAAGAGACCTGGGTTCCATTCTTGGAGTTGACACTAATTCACTCTATGACCTTGGACTAGTCACTTCCCCTCTCTGGGCCTCCAGTTCCTTATTTGTAAAGTGAGGAGGTGATACCTTCCAGTTCTGACATTCTGTGCTACCAGACACCTTCAGCTCTAAAATTCTTTGTTCCTTTTATTCTGTGTTCCAAGGCCACTTAGAGCTCTTTTCCATTGTGCTTTAAAGACCCTTTATTGCTAATGTTCTATCACTTGAAATCCCTAAGAACTTGGCTTTTAGATATCTTGGTTTAGGAAAAAGAAATGAGTGAAGGCAATCATAAAAATTATAGGATGATAGATTTAGAATTGAAAGGGTCCTTAGTGGTCATTTAGTCCAATGGTATCACTTTACAGACGTGGGCCTGAGGCCCACAGAGATTAAGTAACTTGCTCGTGATCACCAAGATAGGATAAATGAGAAAAGTCATTTATTATATGCATGCTATATGCCAGGTGTGTGCTCAGGACTGAACTAGTGTACATGAAACATTGTCTAGTAAAGAAAAATATTCCATTACAAAAGAACATGTGGAAGGAAAATGTACCATGTTCTTCAGTTCAAGTGACCAGCTTCAACCCTGAATGTATTTGTCATTTTGACAGTCGTTGTCGTCATCTTCTTCTTCTTCTTCTTCTTCTTCTTCTTCTCCTCCTCCTCCTCCTCCTCCTCTTCCTTCTCTTCCTCCTCCTTCTCCTTCTCCTCCTTCTCCTTCTTCTTCCTCTTCTTCTTCTTCTTCTTCTTCTTCTTCTTCTTCTTCTTCTTCTTCTTCTTCTTCTCCTTCTCCTTCTCCTTCTTCTCCTTCTCCTTCTCCTCCTCCTTCTCCTCCTCCTTCTCCTCCTTCTTCTCCTTCTCCTTGTTCTCCTCCTCCTTGTTCTCCTCCTCCTCCTCCTCCTTTTTCCTCTTCTTCCTCTTTTTCTTCCTCCTCTTCCTCCTTCTTCTTCTCCCTCCGTCTTCATGAGGCAGTTGGGGGTAAGTGACTTGCCCAGGGTCACACAGCTAGTAAGTGTTAAGTAACTGAGACTGGATTTGAACTCAGGTCCTCCTGACTCCGGTCTAGTGCTCGTTTTGACACTTTTCTTTAGGCTATTCTCTAAACATAGAATTCTCTCATGCCCTATCCCTTATTCCTTCTATTCATTCTACCACCACTTTCCCTCCCCACTCTTCAGAGGTTACACCTCAGGTGCCACATTCTGAATGATTCCTTCTGTGGTCATTCCAGCTAGAAGAGATCTCTCTTGTAATAGCACCTGGTTCATATCTCTCATGTCTTCATCATACACTATTTTGTATTGTGGTTATTTATGCCCATGTCTTATCCATTAATATTGCTTGAATTAATCATATATAACAGATGAAAGGTCCAGACTGTTTTTAAGAAAAAAAGAACTCTCCTTGATTTTTGAGGTTTTTAGTGATAGAGTATAAAAGAAAAAAAAAAAGACACTCAGTTTTGTTGTAGGACTCCTGGGTTGAAGTCTCAGCTCTGATGCTTACTGGCCTTGTAAGGGTTGGGCATTTACTTCTTTTATAAGCCTTAATTTCTTCATTTTTAAGATAAATATAATTAAAATGGTGTTACCTTCCTCAAAGAACTATTCTGAGGATCAGGTGTGAGAATGCATGAAAAGCTCTTTTGTGAAATACTTAAAGTTCTGAAAACAAGTCAGCTATTTTTATTAACAATTGCCTTGGGGCAGGTAGGTGGTGCAGTGATAGAGAACTGGCCCTGGAGTCAGGAGAACCTGAGTTCAAATCCAGCCTCAGACACAAAACATTCACTAGCTGTGTGACCCTGGGCAAGTCACTTAATCCTAATTACCTCACCCAAAAACAAAACAAAAAAAAACAACCAAGTAGTAAAGTAGAAGAAGACTTGGGTTCAAATTCCCCAGGTATTTATGACCTTAGATATGACCTTGGAAATCCCTTAACTTCCCTCATCTTCGTTTTCATCTGTTAAAATGGAGATAATAATAGCACCCACCTCATGGGTTATGAGGCTCAAATGAGATAATACATGTAAAAGATTTTGCAAACCTTAAAGCACTATCTAAATGCCATCTATGATCATTGTAAGGAAAGCATTTGATGAGCTGTAAAGTACTGTGGTGATAAGAATATCTGACATTTAAAGTTTTAGTTTGCAAAGTGCTTTGTGTACCGTAGCTCATTTTTAGCTTCATAACAACTCTGTGAAAAAGGCATTACAGATATTATTTTATAGGTAAGGTAAATGAGACTCAGAGTGATACCCCCCTACCCAGCTGATGTCACAGAAAAAGCTCCAGGTCTAGCCCTCTCTTCTCTCTGTTGCTCTACGTTGCCCCTTTAGACATCAGACATGTGAAGGCTCCTCAAGACAGACCATCATGCCCTTTTTGGCCTTTCCCCCCTTATTCATGCTTGTCAGTTACTCTTTTCATTTTTAAGCTTTCCTTTCTTTCTTCTCATTTGTGTCTTCCAGGTCCTCAATATCGCCTGGAGAAACAGAGTGAACCCAATGTCCCTGTGGACTTAGAATGCACCCTGGAGAGCCAGAGCACTTTGGAGTTCTGCCTTGTGCGAGAGAACAGTACGTTTGCCCTTTTCCATCTTGCTCTATAGATTGTCTGAGTGCCCAGAAGTTATACATCCTGGAACGAGTGCTGTACTGGCTGGGCAAGGGGGTTGGAAGGCACTTTGTTCCTTACAGCAGGAGTTGTCAACAGGAGCCAAAAGAATTTCCAAAGTGAAATGATTGATTCCCTACCTTTTGGTAAATAGGCTGTATACTGTTTATGGCTTCATGATTGATCTTTTTCTGTTAAACTGTATACTGGTAAAGTTATGATCAACCCTGAACATAGAGTGGAAATATAGTGCCTGTTCTGAAGCCCACAATATTTAGTGGATAAAGTGACTGGTATCCAGTACATTTTATCCTGTCAATATCACTCTGCAATGCACCCAACATTTGCGAAACTTTCTGAAGTATTAACCATGTATGATTTCTGAAATAGGAGACAGAGGAACTGTTTTTAACTTAGTGATTGTTTTTTAAGGAAATTTTGAAAATCTTAAGTAATTTCTTCTGTTCCCTTGCTAGTAAGCCTCTAAATCAAACTTTGAAAAATAGAATCTTAGCCTTAGAAGGGATTGGGAGAGAGAAAGAGAATGAATGAATATCTTTGGACAGGAACTTATCTGGCCTCTACTTGAACACTTTTAGTCTTCTGACCCCACAGCCACCAAGATTAAGCCTGTTCCATTGTCGAATAATTCAGGTGTATTAGAAAGGCCTCCCTTTTTTTCTTTCTTTCTTTCCTTTTTTTTTTTTTAAAGAAAGGTCTTTTTTTATATCGAGCTGAAATCTGTGTCTGTTTAACTTTCACCCATTAGTCCTAGTTCTTCTCTCATAAGCAACACAGAGCAAAGTATAGGGGAAAGTGTTTTAGACTGGTCAGAAGTCCTCGATTTGAATTCTACTCACCTGCTTCGTGGTCTTCAACAAGCCACTTACTTTCTCTATTTGAACCTCAGACTCTTCATCAAGAAACTAAGTGGATTAGTCTAGATCAGGGGTTCTTAACTTTTTTGTGTGTGTCAGAGACCCATTCTGCAGTCTGGTAAAATCTGTGAACCCCTTCTCAGAATTTGCTTTTAAATAATTACAGATAATAATTCAGTTAGAGGTTACTGAAAATAAAGATGTAGTTTGGTTTGGTTTTTTCCTCATCCAACTTTATGGACCTCTGAAATCTATCCTCAGAATCCATGGAGGTCTATGGACCCCAAATTAAGACCCACTGGCCTAGAGGATCTTTAATGTCCCATAAAGCTTTGGCATTCAGTGTTCTGTGCCCCAAAGTCCTTTCCAACTCCAACATTATATATTCTAATAGTCCTCTAAGGTCCCATCTAATTTTAACACTGTGTTCTGTATTCTAAGGTCTCTTCCACCTCTACTCCACTCAGTATGGACCATTGTGATCTAGATGCTAGGATGGCAAAAAAAGGTAGAAGATAAAATCTGTCCTTACAGGATCTTAGAGATCATCTTTAATTTTATATATAAATTTTAATTTTATAGATAAAGAAACTGAGGCCCAGAAAAAAGCAAAGCCCATGAATGACTTGCCTAAGGTCAAGTAGATAGTGAGTAGCAGAGTTGAAATTGAAACACTTGTCCTGTGGCTCCAGATCCAGAGCTTTCTCCATTCCTGTTACATCAGAACTTTAAGAATTGTTTATAAAAGCTTTTATATTTTACTCTGTTCTTTCCATTTATACTTCACTACTTCAGAACATCTATTATTTAATTGATAGCGGTACCTAGACACAGATTACAACCCTTAATAGATGGGATTCTTCAAGAGTTGCTGTAGCCAAAAGATGTATATCCTGATGGCCAAGCCTTTACCAGTGAATTTCTTCAAGATTTAGTTAGATTGGTCCTTGGACAACACCATCTCTAGGCCCAAACTCAAAACTTTTCTAGCTTAGGAGGACCAGCCAGCATTTGAAATCACCTGCATAGCCTTCAGGACCTCAAGTATCCTCCAAAGCTCAGTGAGGTCTCTGAGGGAAGTTTTCAGTCCAAGGGTCACAGAATGGTAAATGGTATTGATGGTGTAAGTTTCACAAGATATGAAGGCATTGGTGGTCTAGGGGTTGTGTAATAATGGTGATAGTCTTCTGGAGGTCAAAAAATGGTGTCTTTGGCAATATTTAAGAAGGTAAACTTTGAAAATGGAGCTAGAAATGATATATATATCTCTGCTTAGGAACTGAGATTTAGGATTTTTGCCTAGGTCTTGGCCTGTTAAAGGAGGAAAAAGCCAAAATCCTTGAGCTTTCCAATTTGAATTCCTTTCTGCTAACATGTACTATCTTCAGACAGCTGTCTGCTAGGATCTGGAATATGACCAGTATAAAACAGAAGACTATCTATTGAAAGAGCAACTGGGGTCCAGTGAGGAGTTCTCCTATTCTAATCCTCCCAGTTCTAATCCTTGGTCCTAATCAGATAATCTCCCTGAGTTTTTATGCTGTGTTCTGGAAAAGAGAAATGCCTTGACCTACTTTCTGGAGACTTCTGTAATTATCTGGCCTTGATAAAGGCACAATTATCTCCTCTGAAGAAGACCCAGGCACTAATCCAATTTGACCAAAACTTCCAGTCGCCTCAATTACTACCTGATACCCATCTCATCCCATCATTTGCACTCTTTGGATTTCACTGTAACCTCACCATGCCTCTCCCTCCCCCACTGTATACTCCCCCACTCCACTCTACTGCTTGCCTTCTATTTTTTATCTTCTTTTTGTATGTTTGTAGTCTTCTCCGATTTGAAATTGTAAGCTCCTTGAGGGCAAGAATTGTCTTTCCTTTTAAGTATCCCCTAGGCGTCGTACTGTACCTGACTTGTAAGTAGACAATAAATACATATTGTATTGTAGTAGGTGCACAAAAGACCTCAGAGACCATGTAGTCCAGACCCTTCATTTTACAGAGGGGAAAACTACCTAGTCTCACTCTATGGCTGTAGAGAAGTAATGTCAACTCTTTAGGCCTCTATTTCCTCACCTGTTAAATGAAGATAATAATAATGTGCCACATACCTCACAGGGTTGTAATGAGGCAAATGCCATGCAAATTTTCAAGCACCATGTTATTGCTAGGAAAGCAGTTTATAAACCCTAAAGCCCTATCAAAATAGGAGGTATGGTCATGTTTTTTAAATTGATGGCACCATGGCATAGTAAGTAGAGACTTGGCCTCAAAGCCAGGAAGACATGGTTCAAATCAGACAGCTAAGATTATAAATTTCTGGGATGATGCCAGCCTACATTGGTATATAGAATTTCCTCCACTTGGAATTTCTAATACCAGTGAAACATTAGATCTGATCTCGATCCCTGTCCTATCAATATATTGCAGTATTCATACTAACATATTTCAAGATTCTCGGTATCATAAGTGTGTGAATATTATTTCTAGCAGTGCAAAGTACCTGCTAACTATGGAAATCACTTTACCTCCCCAAAACTCAGTTTTCTTATCTTTAAAATGAGTTTGGGCTAGATAATTTCTGAAGTCTCTTAACAGTTATAAATTTTATCAGTGTTAGAATGTAGAATTTGAGATCCTGATAAGGCTTATCAGTATAAAATGTAAAAACAGTGAATATCTAATCTGGAAGAAACCTTAGAAAATAAAACTTGGAACAGCAGAGCTGGAAGGGAATTCCAGGTTCCTCCCTCTTTTTTACATTTAAGGAGACCCATATCCTAAGATGAAAGGTAATTTGCCTTGCCCTGTATCTCCCAGTTAAGTAGTCAAGCCATACTCAAACCCCAGTCTCCTCACTCCATAGTACACCATCCCTGAGATGTTTCAGTGTTTCAGGCTGTAGTTTCTTCATCCCTAAGATGAGAATATTAATACTTGTATTTCCCATTGTATTTCCCATGTTATCATTATACCGTTTTCCCACCATCTTATAGTATTTGTTATTTCAAGGAATGAACGAGATCCCTGTACATTTGCTCTTCTCTTTTACCTTGTAGTTCCCTGGAACTACTTGTGTCTTGCATGTGTCTGTCTTACCCACAAACATGGCACTTAACATTGGGCTGGACATCTAGATACCTCAAGGTCACTTTACCTCTTCGCAGCTTATGTGGGCACCATCTACCTTATCGGGCAATTGAGAGGAAGGCAGTTGTAAAAAAGCAAACTAGAAATATGAGCTCTGGTTTTCATTATTAATATGAAAGAGTGTGTGTGTGTGTGTGTGTGTGTGTGTGTGTGTGTGTCTGCCACTAATGATTTCTTGGTATGGAAGTAACTCTTGGCTTCTCAAAGGTTTTGCCAGTGAAGCTGGCAAGTCCTACTAAATTCAGCACTCTTTGCACTATGCTGCCTCCCATTCTTGATCTCTCATTTTTTCTCCCTTCACCGAGCCTCCATCCCATTTCTCCCTCTTCCTCAGATTTCCTAGAAATCCACACAGACATTGATAATCTTTGGGCTCAAGAGCTAACTTGCCTGTAGCAGACAGCCAGGTCTTTGGTCCTTCCTGCCCAACTTAGATTCTACCTTTTCTCTAAACCCCACCTACCCACTTACCAAGTGAAAGGGATTTTTTTTCCTTTCTTAAACTTCTCATAGCATTTTTCCTGTAAAAGCATGACCTTTTGACCTCTCCTTCACTCACCTTGCTTTCTTTGTGCCATAGTTATTTTTATTTATATATTTCCCTCCATTCGATTATAAACTCCCTGAGAACAGAGTCTGTGTCCTGTCTGCCTTCATATCTTCAACTTAAAGCATTTAATAAGTGCTTGCCAGATAAATGGTGAGCTTTACCCTCACCTCTTTTCTCAACTCAACAAGAGCCTGTTTTGTGCTGCCTGGAGTAAGAAGTTCCAAAATGCTCAAGGCTAATTAGTTTCATTTTTCTCTATCCCCTTCCTGGAAAGTTCCCCTTTCTCATTTTATCATTAGGTAGTAATTAGTATTCAAGGGAAATTGGTCTTAATATATTAAAATTGGTTAAGTGCATTTAGACCTGTATCACAGCCAATGTC